CGCCGGAAGGCCTGGACCGTTGCCGTGGCAACGCGAGGCGCTGCGGCGCCCCCGTTACCATGGGGACGGGCGGGAGGGGTTTTGGGGGCTTTTTTTCCCGTGCTGTTTAAAAATTTTTAATTATTATTAATTTTTACAGTACCAGAAGGGGGAAGATATCCCCGGGGAGAGGTGTGAGCTGTCACTGGAAGCCCACCCAGGCTGGGTTACTGCTGGCCCTCCCCCAGGACGTGGGAGGCCCAGCCAGCCCCACCGAGCAGGGAAGGCCCCATACACCCCCGTCCGCTCCCTGCTGCCGTGTCGAGGGGGTCAGCTGTTTGGAAGGGCCACGAATTCCCCTTCAGGTATGATAAATGGAGCTGGAGAGGACTGCCCGCACCAGAGCCGCGTCTGCCCACTCACGCTGGTGTGAATGGAGGGGTTGCCCAAAGACAAGTCTCCTCCACGGCAGTGGATTACAAACCAGGCTAAACCCACTGAAATGGCATCAACTTTGCTGTTTGTCTACAGTGTTGTGCATGTACCAGCCAAACACACCACAGCCTGAAGGGAAGCAGTGGATGGAAGGGTGCTTTGGCACAGGAGTCCCCTCGCCCTGAGAAGCCCTTGCTTGAGGAGAGGGACAAGCAGGAAAAAAGTGAGAAGAAGGGAGAAATAGAGGTTTTGCTCCAAGGGTGGTGGAGGCCCCCAGCAGTGAGCAGAGGATGTGGCTCCTATTGCCCAGTTCCTGGTGCTCAGATCCGCATCAGATTGTCATGAACATGTGGCAGACGCTTCTTTGCCACCAGTCCTCCTCTGGACAAGACCCCAGTCATGGGCTGCTGGCTCAGGTCTAATGAGAGACCCGTGAAGTCTCTTCTGCATGGAAAGCATCAGAAGAAACACACTTTCGCACACCCCCTCTCATTTTGCAAAGTAGAGAAAGCATTTGAAGCAGCTGGGATCTCTTTCAGCCAAGGCCAATGAACAGAGGGTCGAGTGTCCGGCATCTTTTCCCCACCCCAGCTTCAAAGTTTTTGATTGGGAGCAATGGGAGAGCACAGCACGGATCTATCAGTAGGCAGAAAGACACCTCAGCTTGTCTATCTCTCTCAATTAATGCCATTTTCCATTTATGAGAATTCTCCCAATCTCTTGAGGAATGTAAAGGCACTGAGAGGCTCTACAATGCCCCCACCTCCCCTGCCCTACCCCTGGCTATGGACCATTGTTTGGGATCTGCCCTAATCCTGATAGCAGGTTGCAAAGGCAGCCTTTGTGAGAAGCCTTTGTGAGAAGCCAGGGATAAGCGTCCCAGGTCGTCACATACACAGGAAGGCTCATGGCACAGGAGAAGACATCACGGTGGGAGGAGATGAACTTTTTCAAGGAGAAACTGAAAGATGGGCAGAGAGCTCAACCCTTTTTTTAAATTAATCATTCTAGTCACTGCTTGTTTTGCAGAATCTTATTTTAGGTTGTGGCAGTGTGATTTGCCTCCCGCCTGGGGCAGGGAAAGAAACGGCCCAACTTGTTTGCAAATTTGCTCAATCCATTCAGCTAAAATCAGAGAATGCTCGTCACTGCCTTAAAAAAAAATACCCAAGGGTAAAACCCCGCAGCGTTTGAGGTTTCAGGCGCTCGCTGTTTCCTCTGCTGATGGATGCGGAGACTGCGACTAGACAGAAAGCGTGCAACTGTTAACTTTCCCTCTCCAACTCTCGCAAGAAGGTAACTTGATCTGAAACAAGAAATATGACTGCTAAAAACTAATCAGGTGAAATAATTAAAGTTGCTTTTGCCGTCATTTCAGTTCATGCCTCATTCACATTCCTTTCTGAAGCAATGTCTCTTGTCCATAGAAGTGGCTCCCAAGATCACGATCCCTTTTCTTAGAAAGTCATTCCCCATCTCAATATTTGGCCTTTTAAGACTCAGACCCCTTGGCAAACCTTGTGGGTTTTTTTCTCTTTAGGACCCAGATTTTGGATGTTTTCTTTACCTCCATCTTAGCATCTCGCTTCTTTTCCTGCCTCTGCATGCCCGTAGCATAGCGAGGACTTTCCCCCCTGGATGCTGTGAAGTTTGGCATGGTAAATTCTCTTTTGGACAGCATGAAACACCCTCTGGCCCAAATGGTGATGCACAAGCAGGGTGGCGAGAGAGAACCGGGGGGGCTGCTGGTGCGGAAAGCCC